TTACAGTACAACTTACAGTACAACTTACAGTACAACTTACAGTACAACTTACAGTACAACTTACAGTACAAAGGTATTTTTGGTTGCTGGTTTATCCAATATGGCGGCCGTGGCGGCGAAGGACAGGTGACCGTTGTACACGGTGAAATCATACAGAAAAAACACAAGGGGGGAAATGGAAAGTATGGACTCCACTGTATGCACAGAAATAATGTAGAACCCATCAATACACACAGAACCTTCCGACATACCAGTACATATATATATATATATAGGTGTGTGTTGTTATATCACGATAGAACACACTCACACACAAGTACACGCAAGTACACGGTACTCATGCATGTACCAAACCATGTACAGCAGACCACAGATACAACACACACACACACACACACACATCCGACCACAGCAAGAACCAACACACAAACACACACACACACACATATCCGACCACAGCAAGAACCAACACACACACACACACACACACACACACTCACACACACACACACACACACACACATCCGACCACAGCCAGAACCATCAGGGAAAACAGGACCTCCGGGACAGCTTATACAACAGGCCATCCCCGCCTGATGTCTCGCTACTAATCGGCTATATAGCCGTGTTCTATATAGCCGTGTTCTATATATAAACGTGTTCTATATATATAGCCGTGTTCTATATATAGCTGTGTTCTATATATAGCTGTGTTCTATATAGCCGTGTTCTATATATAGCCGTGTTCTATATAGCAGTGTTCTATATATAGCCGTATTCTATTTATAGCCGTATTCTATATAGCCGTGCTCTACTGTACGCTACTACTAGGCTATATATAGCCGTGCTCTACTGTACGCTACTACTTGGCTATATATAGCCGTGCTCTACTGTACGCTACTACTTGGCTATATATAGCCATGCTCTACTGTATGTCTCCGTCCCATTTGTCCAGTCCCTACAGGCCAGCATTATCCGAGCACGGCTGTGTAGTAGGCCAATGTGTCAACGTGCAGCCAGTTCTGTGGGTGGTACAACCAACCCCTTAGAGAAATTATGCAAATATGTATATATATACAAAAATAGTACGTACGGTAGTCAAACAGACAGACAGGCAGACAGACAGACAGACAGACAGACAAACAGAACAAAGACAACATGAGCTCTGCGCTTCCTTGGTCCAACCTTCTCTGTCTGTCTAATTGTCTGTCTGTCTGCTCTGTTTGTCTGTCTATCTCCTGTCTCTATCTGTCCGTCTCCTAGTTTTGATGTGAACTAACTTTATGTGTATGTTACTGTAAACCATTTATTGTATTGATCCTGTGTATGTTACTGTAAACCATTTATTGTACTGATCCTGTATGTTACTGTAAACCATTTATTGTACTGATCCTGTATGTTACTGTAAACCATTTATTGTACTGATCCTGTATGTTACTGTAAACCATTTATTGTTCTGATCCTGTGTGTTACTGTAAACCATTTATTGTTCTGATCCTGTGTGTTACTGTAAACCATTTATTGTACTGATCCTGTGTGTTACTGTAAACCATTTATTGTACTGATCCTGTGTGTTACTGTAAACCATTTATTGTACTGATCCTGTGTGTTACTGTAAACCATTTATTGTACTGATCCTGTGTGTTACTGTAAACCATTTATTGTTCTGACCCTGTGCACGCACACAAAAAGACGGTGTTAAGAGGGCCTAAAAAAAGACACTTTTTTTTAGCTAGATCAAATTTTTAAAAATATATTTTGTTGGGTCCGTGGCCTAGAGCAAGCCAAACTACATACACACTGGTGGTAGTGGTAGCAAGCTATGCTAAACTACATACACACTGGTGGTAGTGGTAGCAAGCTATGTCAAACTACACACACACTGGTGGTAGTGGTAGCAAGCTATGTCAAACTACACACACACTGGTGGTACGTTGATGAATGAGCTTGGATGTTTTATTATTTTACTGTTCACACACACACACACACACACACACACTCACACACACACATACATTCACACACACTCACAAACACACACATACACTCACACACACATGCACACACACACACACTCACATATACACTCACACACACACATACACCCATACACACTCACACACACACGCACATACACACACACACACAAATATAGACAGACAGAATCATTCCTCAGTTGCCAACACAGCCACCAACCACCCATCAGACAGACTGCGCCAGCTTCGAGCCCCGTGGTGACCCCAGCGATGTCCCCAAGGACGTCCCGTTTTTCTCTCGCTCCGTGGGTGTGAGCTCCGTCTTGGCTTTGTTCACCACGGGGTTCTGGGCGTAGAGGTAGGTGGCGGCGCTCACAATGAGGATAGCTACGGCCGTGTACACGTCCACGGGGATGCCAAAGATGAGCCAGCACAGGACGGCTGTGAACATGAGCTCCAGCGCGCTGGCAAACGTCTTCAGGATGGAGTTGAGGTTACGCAGGAAGAGGCTGGTCACGATGCCGATGGCGGCGTTGTTGGCGATGATGGCCAGGACCCCCGGCCGCATGATGGACATGACACTGTCTGCCTGGAAGGCCTGCACCAGTTGACCTGGACAAAGAGATAGGCCAGTTTTGAGCAGATCTAGGCTGGGTTCAGCTACAACAGCGAGGCACCTTCCCACCACAAACTGCAAACACTTTGTGTTGCTGTCCGTGTTGTTACTCCACCATTGACACAGTTTAGGTCACATAGGACAACATTTGGTGGAGAGGGATAGTTTAGATGACACAGGACAACACTTGGTGGAGAGGGATAGTTTAGATGACACAGGACAACACTTGGCTGAGAGGGATAGTTTAGATGACACAGGACAACACTTGGTGGAGAGGGATAGTTTAGATGACACAGGACAACACTTGGTGGAGTGGGACAGTTTAGATGACACAGGACAACACTTGGCTGAGAGGGATAGTTTAGATGACATAGGACAACACTTGGTGGAGAGGGATAGTTTAGATGACATAGGACAACACTTGGTGGAGAGGGATAGTTTAGATGACACAGGACAAC